TAGAACGATGAAGTCGGTGACTACCGCCACCGCAAGTTTTAAATGGAACATTGGTTAATTATGTTAGCATGTGATATGGGAATGTGGAGTAATAAATCTAGACCAGGCGGACTCGGTGTGTGTGAGCCACAAGACATGGAGGTCTTGTGAGCGGGATCTTTCCTTTGTGTTGATTAAGGCACGTCCGTTGTTGAATTGCATGAGGTGAGAATTTGTAGTACTAACCACATACTCCAGTAAGCCCTGAACTTGGCAATTCTATTACGAGAATGGCTACTCACGACTTTGGGAGTGGAGAGATGGCGGGAATAAGCGTGTACCCACGTGGCAATGGGTTTGGATTGGTGGAGTAATCAGTATTCTCGGGTGGCGCGGACCCATTCTTGTTTTAGAGGATCCGAGAATAGGTTGGTATATGTAGGTCGGGACTCGCATATGTCGTGGTGGTCTGGAATCCCAATTTGGGTTTATAATCGGTTTTTGAATCGTCGTTGCTCCTCGGTTATGGAGACTCAACTCTTTGTTCATCATCGTAGTAATTAATAACCTGGAACTTGAGAATGGTTGATGAAGGTGTTGGATATGAAGTTTCATGATCTCATTACGGATCGTGTCATCTTTGTATATGATTTTATGAAGTTTAAACTGTTGAAACAAAGAATTTTGTCAAAGAGCTTTTACATAAAATAACTTTGATTATTGCTAAAACCATACCTTGAATCCTCGAGCCCGCATTCCTGAAAGTTATCAGTTCTTATTTTGGTTAAGTCTTGTTGAGTACTTTTGTACTCGTGGTTCGCTGACCCTTGTTGTGTGAGCCTCATGAGCAGATCTGTTTTGGATCGTCTTTGCATGACATGCTTGTACCTTGTGTGATGACGTTGAGAAGTAATTGTGTGGCCCTTTAAGGTAAGGCAGCCTCATTGTGTGTTTTGTATTATATTATAATGCCGCTCCACTACCTTGGTTTGTATTAATAATCGAACTTAGTTGTACGGTTTGAAAAAAAATGGTTTGTAAACTATGTTATTGTAAGTCTTCCGCTACTTTTACTCTGATGTGTCTATTTGAATAAACTGTTGTAATACTACAATGACTATGTAACGTGATCCTGCTCGGAAATCGTGGATGATTCGGGGTTCCCCGAGGACACCCGACAGACTTCTTAAGTTACCAGGAACATATGCATTGTTGTCAAAGGTCTTTGGACAGTGACAAATGTATGTGGGTCCTATAATTTAGGAGGTTCTGCCACACCAGCACAGAAGCGTCCATCTCTAGAATGATACGCGGCATGCCCATTTGTGAAGCAAAAAGCAAACCTTTGTATGCCGCCATTGCCTCGGTATGTAGAGCTGAAGCTGCATAGTTGATCTTTTTAGCCCCCTGCAGCAAGCAACTCATCATAATTATTCTGTACAACAAAGCCCCAACCTCCTGTTCTTGCCTTTGGATCAAAAGCTCCGTCAATATTAACTTTATATATGTCCTCAGGTGGCGGCTTCCAATTATCTTTGGTATCTTAAATTGTTTTGTTCTCGGACACACTTAGTTTTTCAAACTCCATTTGGAAGTAATTGACAGAATTGTGAATTTCCTCTGCATTCAGCATCCTTCCCCGTCATTGGCCTTGTTCCTCGCTGACCACCACCTCCAAAGAAAAATTATAACCTTCAATTGAGTATCTTTTTCTAGCTTCCCAATAATATTGCAAGTTTTCCAAGCTGAACCACAATTCAACAATTGAACCCTGATGGGTTCCATGTTCATCATACGCCAGCATAGTTTAGCATACTTACACTTGAAAAAGAGATGCCGGCAATCCTCATCAAGCCTTGCACAGACGGGACACCTCGTGTCAATGACAATACCGCGCCTTGCTAAATTTCTTTCGTACTGGTAGGCTGTTATGAGCAAAACGCCACATAAACGTTTTGACTTTGTTAGGTACTTTGAGTTTCCATATTCTATACCATTCGAAAACACTGTCATCCCTAACGGTCCATGAAGTAGAAGCATCCCAACCAGCCAACCGATCTCGTCTTGCCACTGCAGCCTTGTGTAGGTGATTTGACAAAAATAAACCTTTTGCATCAAGTACCATGCGGGGCCAATCATCCAAATTTTCAAAGCAATTGGTATTCTTAAGATCTCATTTGCATCTTCCGCCAAAATGTCTCACGTACAAGTTGTTCATCCCATTCATTGTTACAGGGTTGATAAGCTCATTAACTTTTATCAAGAGGTTAGCTCCCTTAGGTGTAGCGGATTTCTTGTCAACGCTTTGGGCGCGATGGGTCCTCCCAAATTCTCACGCTTTTACAATTACCAATTCTCCATATAATCCCCTCCTTCAGCAAGTCAACACCTTTCAAAATACTCCTCCATGTATATGAAATACCAGATCGGGCGAACAAACGGTGTAGTATATCTGAATTTGGAAAATATCTTGCCTTCAAGACTTGCCCACAGAGAGAATAAGGGAAGTAATTAATCTCCACGCTTGCCAACTTAACATTGCCATATTAAATAGGTGCAAGTCTCGAAAGCCAAGCCCACCTTTTCTTTTTTGATCTGGTAAGTTTTCTCCAACTTAACCAATGTATTTTATTTGTTTTGTCCTATTGACTCCACCAATATCTTCCAATAATCATGTTCAACTCCTCACACAAACCCTTGGTAAGATCAAAGCAGGACATGGCATAGGTTGGAATGGATTGTGCCACAGCCTTAATAAGTATTTCCTTACCCGCTTTCGATAAAAGTTTCTCCTGCCAATCTTGAATCCTGGTCTAGATCTTTTTCTTGATATACTCAAAGGTATTTTTCCTAGATTTTCCAACTGAAACCGGCAACCCCAAATAACGCTCACTTGTTGCAACCTCTAAGATTGAGAGTGTAATTCTCATATGATCTTTAATACGTTGATCGGTATTTGGGCTGAATATGATTGTTGACTTGTCTTTGTTGATTACTTGTCCACAAGCTCTTTCATAGAGTTCCAAAATACGACCTAGTTCTTGTGCATCACTTGCCCTTGCTCTCATCAAAATTAACAAGTCGTTCGCAAAGAAAAGATGGTTTACTCTTGGTGCTCCCTGGCAGATTTTAATGCCCTCAAGCTTGCCCTCCTGTTCAGCTTTCTATAACAATGCTGAAAGCCCTTCTGCGCACAAAATAAATAGGTAAGGCGAAAGAGGATCACCCTGCCTTAGACCACGTCGAGGGATAATTCGATGAGTATAGGAATCATTGACTTTAATCTTATATGAGATCGAGTAAACATATTTCATAATAAGTTGCACCCATCTAAGATGAAAACCCATCCTCCTCATCATATTTTCTAAGAAGGTCCACTCCACTTTGTCGTAGGCTTTACTCATATCAAGCTTAATAGCAGCCAACCCTTTTACCCCTTCTTTTCTAGAATTCAAGTGGTGAATTAATTCATAGGCCAATAAAACATTATCTGTAATTAACCTTCCTAGCACAAAGGCACCTTGAGAAGGGGAAATAATATTAGGCAAAAAGTTCTTAAGTCTGTTGGCAAGCACTTTTGAGATAAGCTTATATAAGACATTGCACAAGCTACCTGGCCGTGAATCTTTCAGCATCTTTGGTGAGATAGCTTTAGGAATCAGAACAATAATTGTATCATTCCACCCATCATGTATTGGCCCACCATTGAGGACACCAAGAACTTCATTTTTAACATGTTCACCAAAGAGAGACCATAATTTCTTATAAAAGATAGAAGGCATACCATCTGCACCTGAGGCTTTCAAGTCACCCTGCTATGGAGAGCATTCCATATTTCCTCTCCAAAAAATGGAGCGAGCAAAGCTTAATTCATTTATGGTCTGACTCTTGGGAACTACACCCTGACTTCATAAACTACTCAAGTAAAAAAAACGGTTCGTCACTTAAACCACTAAGGAACTGGAGACAAAAAAAAAATCTACAGCTTTTTCTTAAAAATACACCATCTAAAATCATTTTGCCAAACGTTTTTTTAAAGCTATAAATCTATAACTTCAGCGGAGAAGGTTTTCAAAGAGATAGAGCTGAAGCCTACTAAACATATCCTAAAGGGTCCTTAAAACATTCGTCCACCCTGAACGAATGATTGTACCGTAATCTCTTTAGCATACGGTATTTCAAATCTACGCGACTTCGAGAAAAAAACATGTTATGTTTCTCTTTTCTACGGAGCGTAGCATACATATGCATGTACCCCTATCTTTATAAAAACATAGTCATATACTCTATCTCTGTAGAAACATTAGAGAGACCGAATTAGTTGAATTTCATAACATATAGTTTTGTTGTCAGGGGATAATGCTCTTCAGGTGTGCAGGCGTTGCACAAGCTGAAGCAGTCAATGGTGTTGAGGCCCGATCTTAATCGGAGCTGAGATTTGTCACGGAGGAAATGAAGCGCTTGGTTTGATCTCTCGTAAACCTCGTGTTTTTAGGCAGGTACTCAATCCTTCCTAAATTATAAGACGTTTTATTTTTTTTCTAGATATATTGTTCTCGTATGTCTCTAGATATAATGTACTTATATCTAAATGCTTAGCAAAGGCATGTATCCAAACAAAATATTTTTATAATTTAGAATAAAAGGGTAAAATAATAGAGTAATAACGAAACAGAAGAATCTAAAAGAAAATTGGATCTGAGCGGTGGGCCCATTATCAGGGTGAGAAGAAGGCGACGATTGATGGGAGATGCCACTCTTGTAGGGTAGAGCTAGCTATCCTCCTATTCCTCTCTCGTTTTCCTTCCCTACCCCCGGCGCGGGCCCCACCCCGCTGCCTCCGGTCCTCCTCCATAAATAGAGGAAGAGGAGAGAGAAGAAGGCCACCGCCACCGACATCGCCTCGTAACCCGACCGGACGAGCCCCCATTCCCCGAACCCCTCGCCGGGGAGCCAGCCGCGCACATTCCCCGATCCCCACCGCCTCGCCCGGCCGCGCCACGGACCAGGGGAAGGAGGATATGTCGTCGTCGTGGTCGTCTCCCTCTCCGGCGGCGGCGGCCGTGTGCCTGGATCTGGACGGCAACCCCATCGCGCCCCTCACCATCTGCATGATCGGCGCCGGGGGCTTCATCGGCTCCCACCTCTGCGAGAAGCTCATGGCCGAGACGCGCCACGTCGTCCTCGCCGTCGACGTCTACTGCGACAAGATCCGCCACCTCGTCGACCCCGCGCCGCCGCACCTCGCCGGGCGCATCTCCTTCCACCGCCTCAACATCAAGAATGACTCCAGGCTCGAGGGCCTCATCAAGATGGCCGATCTGGTGAGCCTGCGCCCGCCTGCCTGCTGCCACCAGATTTCGGGACCCTGATTTCATCTCACCTCATCCCCCTCTCATCTCATCAGTTACACTAGTATAATATATGCATTTCGTACCCAATAATTCTGCTGGGAGCGCACAACTCACTCACGAATTCCTTCCCTTCACGTCTCCTCCTGCTGTTGCTTGGGTGGATCTGAAGACCATCAACCTGGCGGCCATCTGCACGCCGGCGGACTACAACACGCGCCCCCTCGACACCATCTACAGCAACTTCATCGACGCACTCCCAGTGGTCGGCCCTCGATCTTCTTTTTTTCGCATTTCGTACTACCACTGAAAGAAAGAATGGTCTCACTGGCATGACTGATGACCTATTCCTTCCTTCCTTTGCAGGTCAAGTACTGCTCCGAGAACAGCAAGCGTCTCATCCACTTCTCCACGTGCGAGGTCTATGGCAAGACCATCGGTAGCTTCCTCCCCAAAGACCACCCGCTCCGCAAGGTGACGTGATTTTGCTTTCTATCCACTCCACCCCGTCCCAAGTTTCATTCCGCCCACGCTTGTCAGACGGTTTTGACGCTTCAAGTTATATTCCTTTGTTTTTAGTGTTGACTTTCATCAGTTAGTCAATAAACAAAAAGGATTGCAGATATGGTGCAGGTTGCTAAATTGTGCTGTTTAACTATAATAACTGTTCGTGTCCTTGTCTCAAGATTGGGATAGATTTGGCGTTAGTTGGGGAGGGATTTTCTAGTTGAGCCTCCTTTGGTTGTTGGCATGCTCTTGTCTTGCTCAATTCTTGTCATGATTAATTGATTATTATAGGATGTGGTTGACTTTTGATGAACACTATGGTTTGACTGCATATGCTAGTTCAGGTCTTCCTTGTGTTGGTCTTCCCTCCATTTCTGTACATTGTTCAGTACTATATTTTTTTTTTTCCTTTCCGCGCCTTTCAGATATTTGTATTGTTCAAAACTTCAAGCTATGCCATGCTTACGCCTGTTGGTCTGTTGCTGCATGTTCCCTTGTCAGTAATAGTAGGAAAAAAAAACATACCATTGTCAGGAACTATCCTTCCCCAATAGCATTTTTCTAAACAATAAGCTACTTCTGTAGTTCTGTTGATGCTGCATCATTTATAGATTGTCAACTATTGGCACCCCTCAAGGGTCAGCGTTTGTTTAGCTTGCAGCTTTGTTTTAATTCCGATTATTTTCCCAGTAAAAGTCCGCTCTCTGCATTTGTACTGCACTCATGCTTAGTTCTGTGGGAATGATTTAGTTGGCACTCTATGGTGTTCATCTGCTTTCTTAAGACTTACTGTATTCATCTGTTTGCCATGTGATTATTAATGGAAGTGTAATACATCGACAATGTTGGATAAAAGGATGAATTCTGAATCTTTCCACAGCTTCATGTGGTATGCTCTAGAAGAAACTTATGTTGTAACTCATTTGCAGTGCTTTACAGCAGGATAAGATAATGACATTTGTAGTCAAGCAGATTTCTTTGGTCATACTTGTCCATTGCTGACATATATGTCTCCTCGTATCTTTCAAACAGGAACCTGAATTTTATGTTCTGAAAGAAGATGAGTCACCCTGTATTTTTGGTCCAATCGTGAAACAACGATGGTCCTATGCATGCGCAAAGCAACTTATTGAGAGGCTTATATTTGGTCAGTAAAGTAAATTGTCTTATTTTCTTGCCACTGTACAGCGGATGGTCTTACTTCTTCTCGTTCTAACACTTACTGTCATTTTGATTTGAGTATCTGCCAGCTGAAGGCGCAGAAAATGGCCTTGAATTCACAATCGTGAGACCTTTCAATTGGATTGGCCCAAGAATGGACTTCATTCCTGGTGTCGATGGCCCTAGTGAGGGTGTACCCCGGGTTTTGGCTTGCTTCAGTAACGTATGTGCACTTGTTTCTTTCTGAGGATGGTTACCTTAATTTGCATCATATTCAGTTTTCTCAGAAGATGCATGGTACAATGGTTTTGCAGAATTTGCTCCGCCGAGAGCCCTTGAAGCTTGTTGATGGGGGCCAGTCTCAGAGAACCTTTGTTTACATTAAGGATGCCATCGAAGCTGTTGTGCTGATGATTGTATGTTACTGCCTTTATTATCTCTGGCTCCTTGTTCTCATATGCCCTAATTCATTAAGACTGAACTCCTGTTTTTCTGTTGCCAATTACGAAAAGGAAAATCCTGCTCGAGCCAATGGTCACATTTTCAATGTTGGGAATCCTGACAATGAGGTTACTGTTAGGGAGTTGGCCCAAATGATGACAGAGGTATGCCATCAAATTTATGATGCCGTCAAGTAATAGTTGGTGTTACCTGTTTCTGTTTTAAGCCATCTGTTTTGTACGGGCAGGTCTATGCTAATGTCTCAGGGGAGGCACCACTGGATGAGCCCATGATTGATGTTAGTTCGAGTCAGTTCTATGGTGAAGGATATGATGACAGTGATAAGAGAATTCCCGACATGAGTATAATCAACAAGCAGCTAGGTATTGCTGTTGTCAATATGATGCGGTGGCCTCTGGGTATTCTTGTTTTCCCTAACTTGTGGCTAATGGTCAAATGTCGACTAACTGTAGGTTGGAACCCAAAGACGCCTCTCAAGGATCTGCTGGAGACAACATTGACATATCAGCACAAGACATACAAAGAAGCTGTGAAGAGGCAAATGTCGCAGGCTTCAGCAACGAGTTAGATGACATGCCCCCGGACCTCAAGGTGGTGGTGGTGGCTGGGACGGCTCTCGTTAGAGCCCTAGTCGCAGCTGTTATGATGTTTCGGAAGTCAGAATACATATACGCTAGTAATCGTTTTGAGGCCCTAGATGTCCATGTTAGATTTCATCATGCTGCTATCAAGGGATGCTATGCTATCCGTATGTGACATGTGTGGGTTGGACCATCAGTTGTACTTGTGTTGGTTGCTCCCCCTGCTGTGTGAAGTCATTCTTTGGAATCATTTCATTGGCGAGAACTGTTATTGTCCGTTGAGTATACTACTCCTAGAGGATTGCTTCAGTTTTGTTGGTTCATATTGTGCCATTCACTACGTGTCATTGATGCTGCCAAATGCCTTCTGTCTGTCAGTTATATACATGTATACTGCTACTATGGAAGTCTATGGGCGGGGGGTTAAGACTGAAGAATGATGTTCACCTTACTTTGGGCCTGTTTGCCTGAGCTCTTGAACAGCTTTTGGGCTGAATCCACAATCCAAGAGTAGTTTTGCTAAACTGTTTTTCTTAAAGAAAAAAAGGGTCCTTTTTGACATCCTCAACTTTTGTGGTCATCCAATTTCCCCTCATTTATAAAATTGTTTTTTTACCCCTTTAACTTTTATACCATTTGTCATTTGTTTTTGTATTCTGGATTGTTTTTAATGACAGCTTTTGCTGACATGGTGCCACATCAGCCATCGTCTTACATGGTGCCACATCAGCTAAGAGGGGTATATTTGACGATAATTCATAGGATATACTGGATTATAAAAGTGTTCCAAATATTTTTTTAAAGAATGAAAACCAGACAAGTAAAACATTTTTTGTGAAAAATAATGATAAGTACTGTAGGAACAAAGGAAAAAAGAAAAGAGAAAAAGACGCTGCCTTGCTTTGCTTGCAATCTGAACCGGGACAAGTAAACTACTGGACTCGAGAGTTGAGAGTGTTGGGGCCGCCGCTCTTGAGAGTTGAGAGATAGAATACAGCAAACGGGGATTGCGACGAGGCGGCGGACGCCATGGGCAACGCCGGGAGTGCGCCGGACCAGGCCAAGAACTCGGCGGACGGGGGCAGCGCTGCCGACGCGGAGTCCCGCCGCGGGCAGCCGTCGACGGTGCGTTTCTTCCCCGATGCGGAGCGCCACAAGGCACGACAGCCGCCGCCGATAAAGCTCGAGGAGGAGGAGGGCGTCCCGCCACCGCCCGCCACTGAGGAGGAGATGGCCCCGCGCAACCTCTGGCAGGTACGCCGCCGTTCCAAGTTGCCTCGTCGACTAGATTAGGACCACCGCAAAACCCCTTTGTTGCGAATTTGCTATAGGGATAGCGATGCGATGGCCCGATTTCCTAGTTTCTCAGGATGTCATCTGAGTAGTCATTTTCCTGCAAGTCGCAGCGCATATTGCTTGATGATACAATTGGAAATTTCCCACTCGAAACATTCGCCCCATGATTATGATTGCCACTGAGTGAATCACTGTTTGTAGATGTTACTATTGCAGTGGCATTCTTCTTGTTCCAGCCACGCTGCAACCAGTCTGAGATGAAATTGGACGCAGTTCTCCTGTCCACAATATGGCCATAGTTGCTCGCGATTGGAGTTACAATTTGTTGTATTATTTGTTGTTGTACTTGTGGATTAGCCTTCTCCTCATTCCTCAGCACATAAATTAGTTTGTTACAGAATCATATTTCCCAGAAAGCCAATAGACTGTCCGGATGCAATTCGCTGACTGATTGAGCTGCAAGTTAACACCTACACAATATGCTGTGTGTGTAGGTCTTTCAACTCGAATAAAACAGGATTATAACTGACACTCGACTGTTGTGAGTTGTGCTTGCAGCGTATATTACTCTGAAAACATTATATAGTTGCCCACTGTCAAATTAGAAATGCGCATCATCTAGACTCAGAACCACTTGTAGCAACAGTGCGCTTCCATTGTTACTTTTGGCAGGGTCTGTAACAAGTAACCACTTGGAGACCATGGGGTCGATTACATATCTTCAAGGTCCTCTCATTTGCTATGTTCTACAAATGCTATCACTTGACAAGATCTAAGCTTTTTAGATGCTGGTCATATCATATTGTTGTTGTCAGCCTATTGTTATTCTGCACCTGATACAGATGATTGAGATATAGTATGTTGCCCCTTAAGAGAAAGTTTACTCTTGTTTCCTGCAGTTGTTTCATGCCAAATATTTGCTTGTATTTTGCTTTATTTCCAACTGTTCTTGCACTGTATGATATATTGTGGGCTTGTGGAAATATGACACTTCCTACTATATTGCTATAGGTGTATGCACTTGGGGCGTTCATTGTGTTGAGATGGGCCTGGGCTAAGTGGAAGGAGGACCAGGACAGCGAGGACTCACCAGATGGTGGGGATGGGAATGCACCGGACAGATCGACTTAATCTCCGGTTGCTGCTGCGTGGACTAGGCTCTGTTCCGGTCTAAAACTACCAGGGAAGATGAATGCCGTTTCGTGATGAGCCAATGATGATGGATCACTCTATCCATCATATAGTGGTCATCAATGTTGCTGTGGGGTACCGGATTATGTATTTTGCTGACAATTTGCAAGTGACATTCTCCCCCTTTTCACTCTAGTAGGATCCTTTTTATCTGAGTTGTGGCGCTGCAATCTATGATATAATAGACTGCCAGGTTGACTTGTTTGGAACTTGCAATCTTGTGACTATACTGATAAACGATGTCAATGAGCGTACGTGGAAGAGGTGGCTATTTAGTAGGCGTGGGCATCCGGTTAATTTCACCGGTGAATTCAGAAAATCAGTTTGGTTAAATTGGTTTTAAAGAATTTTGATCTTGGCAAAATATTGATCGAATTTGCTGCTAAAAAACTCGAAGCCGACTAAAATAGGTCGGTTGTAACACATATTTTGCTGGGAGAAAATGTAACAACTCATTTGCATAGGAAACCACTCGATAAAAAACTGCAACAAGCAATAAACGAAAAGGAGGAAAAACAACAAAGAATGCTTCCAGCAAGTAAAGCCTCATAGAGGTATATTTAAACATGCAAATGGACATAGTTTTAGTAATATTATAGTCATAAAGAAATTTGGTTAACGCCACCTACAAACCACCGATCATTGAATAGTGCCAAATCTTCACTGAATGGATCATGGAAATTTTGGTTAACCGAGTTTTTAGTTAAATTTGTTTCGATGATATTTCACCCGCTTTATGTAAACAACATTATGGCACTACATGTGTTCTTATATCACTCACTATATGTCATCCAATAGATTGTCCACTTCCATTAAAAAGTAAAGATTGTCCTCTCCTTTTTTATTGAGAAAAATGATTGCCCGCTTATTAATAAAACTACAAAAGATGAGAACTTGGTGTATAGACAAACATTTTGGAAAAAAAGAAAACAAGATAAAGAAGAAGCTGCTGGATCGAAAATAATGGAGGAAAAAATTATCCCCTAAGTTGTTGCATTCATAACGCTCCTTTAAAACTATATATACTGGCAAAAAAACATTTACAAAAGTAAAATTTGAGACGTGGGTGCATTGAGAAAAAAAATCGAAACAAAAATGATGGTGCGTGGACATTTTTTGAAGGAGCAAAAGTTGTTGCATACAGACAGTGGCAGAGATTGGCACCGAACCGCATGGGCCAATCAATAAATCATACATACAGAAATTAGATGGTGATTTCAAGGTGTAACAATAGGCAACAATTTCACATTTAGTGCTTATTACAAAGTAGCAAGGACCATGGCCCATGTTGTTGTCAAAGAAAGCTATGCCCTTGCATAAAAAAGTAATTGAGGTAAAAAGGACATTGTTCATGCAAATTAAAAACAAATATTTGAGAAGTTGGTGCATAGAGAGATTTTGGGGGGGGAGGAGAAGCAAAAATAGGAATATTAAGAAGTTTTTGCATGAAAGAGAGAGAGAAAAATGAACAAAATATGTTCTGAAGTTGGTCCTTAAAAAGCAAAAACAAAAAACAAAGCAAAAATAAAACAAAAAAAGAAATAAATAAAATAAAAAAATGTTCTGAAGTTAGTCCTTGAAAAGCAAAAACAAAAAACAAAGCAAAAATAAAACAAAAAAAGAAATGTTCATGCAAATTAAAAACAAATATTTGAGAAGTTGGTGCATAGAGAGATTTTGGGGGGAAAAGGAGAAGCAAAAATATGAATATTAAGAAGTTTTTGCATGAAAAAAAGAGAAAAATGAACAAAATATGTTCTGAAGTTGGTCCTTGAAAAGCAAAAACAAAAAACAAAGCAAAAATAAAACAAAAAAAGAAATAATAAAAAAATGAACAAAATATGTTCTGAAGTTGGTCCTTGAAAAGCAAAAACAAAAAACAAAGCAAAAATAAAACAAAAAAAGAAATATATAAAAGCAAAAACAAAAATGCTGGCTGTGGGGTTCGAACCCACGCGCAGATGGACTGCAGAAGATCTTAAGTCTTCCCCCTTAACCACTCGGGCAAACCAGCTGATTATAATATTTGCTCTGCAGATTTACTTATAAATATTCTTTCGTTATCGTCCGGTCCATTATTTATATTTGAGTCCTTGGGATTTGGTCGCCCATGCATACTGATTGACTGTGAGTGAAAAGTGGAAACCGGATTACGGTTAACGAGACGGACGATTGGAGAGGTCGAGGCTAAAGATGGCAACGGGTAAAATTCGCGCGGATACTAGTCCTAGATATCCATACCCGCGAGCAAAAATCCGTGCCCGCGCCCACGCCCGTTAACCGTCACGGGTAGAAAACCATGCCCGTGCCCGCTATCCGTGGATATCACATGCCCGCGGGCACACCCGTGTACCCACAAAAATGAAGCAACAAAGCACCCAACCATATCTTAATAGCAAGTAAGAAACAATATATCAAAAAATATACGTCTATATCTCAATATTAGATGAAGTATGACACATTGACCATACAAGAGTCATCAAAAGTCTACATTAGTGTA